GCTAAATAGCTAAATATTTCCCAAAGTACGTACAGAATGACTGTTTTTGGCTAGTATTTCAAATAACCAAATGCCATTATTTACACAAATTATTCCATTATGACCGAAAAACCACAAATTAAACATGACAGTGGATGCAGTTTAAGTGGGCAAATGTAATACTAATAAAATAAGGTGCATCCTGTATCTGCAATTGATATTACAGTAGGTTTCTTGTATTGTCCAAAAACAACGCTGAACTGTCCAAGGTGGCAATGGCAATATCCGGTAAAGTATCAGAAGTTTTAAACACCAAAATCATTCCAATATTTTAATCATTTCACTCTTATAATTTATACAAATATTATACACATTATAAGTTCCTTGCATAAATGCAACTTTCTTTATTAGAACTTTCAAATATACATGATTTTTTGTCATGCTTACAAAACATTGTTTTAAGAAGTACAAAAATGTAGAATAATTACTGTAATCACCTTACTTCCACTGCAGTAAGTGCCCACCAAGAGAATTAATGTCTAATAAAGGCAATGGAATAAAACCCATTAATACACCACAGAACAGCCAAACAAGCCTGAAGTAATCCTGCACAATGGCACTAAAAAGACAAGGTTTTTACACATAAAATTGTGAAAATACCAATGAAAATGTTTATGTCCCTGTCTGTTTATGTCCAAGCGACGCCATCATCAATGGCAATAGCAAGTAGAATGTAACCAAGTTTTTGGTAAAACAAGTTGCTGCTCAGAAATTCCACAGGCAAGACACGTAGAGAAAACAGACTAGACATGACCTGTCAAGATCAGATGTGAACAAGTAACCAGTACATACAGAAAAAAAAAAACAAAAAACATCCTTCCCCCCCCCCCCCCCCCAAAAAAAAAAACTCCCTGCCACTCCTGCCTGTATGTAACTGTCTGTCTGTCTGTCATTATCATCAGCTGTATGTGTTTACCTTAATGCCAGTTTCTAACCCCTCAGTAAATCTGTCACTCTGTCCCATAAAGAACAATAACCCCAGGCACATATTATGTCCCCCCTGGGTCACTGTCAGTCAGACTGTCCTTCATGTGGTCTTCCTTGCAGTAATGTTGCTATTCAAGCCCATACAACTTGCTTTCCAATAGCCCCAGATGGCAATCAATCTTGGCCTTGTTGAGTTTTACGAGCGGAATGGTTTTTTTCTGAATAATCACCCAAACTTTTCATTAAAACATCAATCAAGTATCAGAGACAGCATGAACCATTGGGCATAGATGAAGGGCGAAATACTGCCGTAAGGTGACCCGTTATCTCATAACAGTGTAGTTCATATGATCTCCTTTGTCAGTTTTGAATAAGCTGACTAAACGATGTCATATGCTGCTTCAGTACAGGCACTATTTAAAACATTGTTAGGAGATGCACGTAGTACTTTATGGAGGCTAGAGGAACAAAACATCCATTTTAACAAAGATTTATTGGAAAAACCTGGACCACAGATATTACATTTGGGAGAACTCAATTACAATAAAACATTTCTTTTTTTGGTGTGGTTCTTATTTTTGTCAGAGTCATGTTTAAAAATATTTCATCACTGAATATTGTCTTCTACATTTGACAAAAATAAGATTTTGCCACATTAATTTTTAAAATAAAAAAAAAAATTCCTAAAAATATTGCTGTTAAGAATACACAGTGAATATACTGACTTATCTTAAACTTACCAACATTCACCTCTTTCACATGTGCAGCAGCAGCATGCGCCCCTTGCACAACCGTTCGCGACCACTGTGACAGGTCCCGCTGCGACTCCACGCGAAACATGTGGGCCTCCACTCCCTGCTTAGACCCCGTCCTGGTACCAAATGTAAGAATTGCGTTGCCACCAAGCGGAGATATCTGTTTCCCAGAATGGACCAACCTGGTACACATAAATAAATAAATAAATAAATAGATAAATCAATAAATAAAATAAATAACAGCTTTAAAATCCCCCTTCCCATTTGACCAAACATCGAAATAAAAAACAAAAAATACTTTGATTGAATAAATTGTGGTATATATGCATTGTCTTTTCATATACAAGAAGAGTTAAGAAATCCTCTAATATTTCAGTGTCAATGAAATTTCAGCAGAGGTAAGGCAAAGGACAGGAGGACAAAATGAGAGAAAAGACATCTACAACAGTATTCTTGGCCCATTTCACAAAATAACTAGGTCTAAAAAGAGCAACATGAGCCTCGGTTCTCAGAACAAGCACTTAAACATCTATGGGTGCTTTCCCAGAGATTTAGAGTGATCTAAAGATTAAGATTTAGATCGACCTAACTCCCTGAGGGTTCAGGCTAAATTGCAGTCAGCCGAGCTGGCACCATAGTTAATTACCCCCTCACAGCTTTTAGTAGGCGGGACAGACGCTTAAGCCGGCCAAGCTGACAGCAATCTAGTGAGACTCCCAACAGGGATAGATCGATCTAAAAATCTATGGAAATGGGGTGTATCATGGGACAAAACACTTTATCAACTGGGGGTCCGAGGATGCTTTAGGTCTAATCAGATGTGAGATAATTACACCTTTGTATGTCACATAACGTGGACAACAAATTGTTGCATGGACTCAGCACATAGCTGGCGAAACAATAGGACTGTACTTATATTTGTAATGTAACAATATTCTAATTATNTATCTAATGACCTAATTTCACTCTTGTATGATATCACATACAGTGGATAACTCATGTTGTAACTAAAACAAATCTGTTTAAGTAAAGAATTATCAAAAGCAATAAAAAGTACTTTAATTCAAAATTTTCCCTAACGAGCCTCACCTAGTACATATAAGTGGGTGTGTCTGTGCTGGCGTGGCCCACTCCTCTTTACTCCAAGGGGCCGTGTCAAAGAGCAGAAAGTCTGTGGCAGTCACAGCCATGAATACTGGTTTCCAGGTGGGATTTCCTTGCTCATTGTGGACCTGTAACTCATGATAAGGACTTATTGAATTTTCCTAGGGTAGAGTGAAAATTTTCTCTTATCCATGAATCATTCATTGTCAAGCCCCCTGCACCTGGATTAGATATTTAATTCTCCATTTTTAATGTAATGATACAGTTTTAATGACTGGTCAGTCATTTAGAATGCCACGTCTTTTCATACATATCAACTTTTATATGAGGGATTTTATAGTTTAAAAGCCCTAATCGGAAAAGATTAATAGGTTTGTAGGATATGTAGACACAGAAAACTGGACATTTTGAAATTTTCAAGGCGTATAGTGTACCTTTAAGAAGACACCCCTCCTCAACCCAGGCAGGATTTTGGGCTTTTAAGAAAAATGTAGGAAGAAATGGCTTGGCGGCTTTACAGCCAAGGGGTTTGGGACACTTTATGTTGGTAAACTATCTAGAAAAAATACAATCTCCAATTTAAATCTTTTAACCGAAGATGAAAAAAAAACCCACACACGTAAGAAGCAGACATCTCACCTGTTCAGCTAGCCAGCCCATGTGCTTGACTTGCTGGACATTAGGTCCTGTGCTTAGCAGCTTGTTAACCTCTGCTATAGTCTGTATTGTCAACAGTGCTGCATTGGTATGTATTGCATTGTACCAGCTATCAGCACTACTTGCATCCTCCGCACGTATGATACACGAACTCTTCCCGTCCGGGGAATGCATTTCTAATGTTCTGTTATCAGCATCGGGCATAGTCAGATTTCTACACAAGTAGCACATTTTTAAAGGAATTGTCTTTTTCTCTTTCCATGGAGACTGAGGGTGGTTTTCTTTAATTGGTGATGTGTCTCCTGCACCAATATTCGTATGTTGTCCCCATCCTAGATCGTTGAGACCTGTGGCTTTGCGGAAATATGGGGTCACTTCTCTAAGGTATTTCACTGAAAAAATAAATAAATAAATAAATAAAAAATGAAGGAATGCAATTTACTTATCTGATGAGGAATAAAAAACTAAGAACTTTTCCTACATGCATTATACTGATGGCAATACCTCTGCAATTTCATGATATATAAAATAACAGCTAGCCACAAATAAGTTTCAAATATCTAAAAGTTCAAACACACAGAAACACATCCCAAGAGAGCAAGAGAGCGAGTGCAAGAAAGAGAAAGCAAGAGAGAGAGGAAGAGAGGGGTAGACTTCTTAGCCCATATGGAAGCAGAACCTTTCCCAGCTTAAAATATTCAGAAAACTACCTGCTGTGAAGGAAAAAAAAAACTTTCAATCGCACATCTATAATTTATTTGATAACATGTAAAAAGGATTAAGGGATAAGAGAAACTTGAGCCTTATCCTATAGTCAAATTGGGTTTTGCCTTAGTATCTTGAAAAAAATGACATGTAATCAATACGGTCATGGAATAGATCTTCGTACTTCTCAATAAAATTAAACATGCTTTCCCAGGAGTGAAATAATGCCTTTTTGTATACCCTATCCATCAGCATGAGGTTCATTAATACCAAGATTAATTCATCCCTTTTAATAACGTCTGAAAACCAACTCCATTCCTTGTCAATTTTAATCCTCCTCCAGTGTCTCAACATTTTTCTCAACCTGTATTTATGCCACACCCTTTAGGAATATAATCTTATGGGTGATAAATCAAGAAAACTGATATTTTATAAACCTACATACAACAGAAAATCAATGGCATCTATCGTATTACTATTTACTAGAGGACAGTAAGATGTGGTGGATTACCGTAATTACTCTTCATATCCAAACAATACAGATTCACAACATATTTGAATAAAATGTTTTTCTAGTGATATCTGAAAACAAAATATCCTAAGTTGTGTAATAATAGTTGGGTAAAATCATCAGTACATTTTAAAGTAAAGGCACCAGAAAAAGTACTTTTTTAAAACTAGGTGTAAAAATAAGTGAAGTGATTCAGAAATGTAAACAATTATCGTATTTTTAATACCACCAAGACTAATCAATGTAAAACCATCACCTAGACAAACAAAGCCCTTGGCATTAATATTCTAGGCTATTCTTACTCTGAAATGATGTAATGGAAAAGGGAAATGTCATTGATATCTTCCAAGTTGAATGGTTCTCCACCCAATAATGACATTAAGCCCTGCAATAATTGGTCTCACCTGCACATTTACTGTGAGAGACAGGTGCTTGGAAATGAATGCAAAAGCTCTGGAGTAATATATTACCTGATGTACTCTTCTTTTATTGGGAACTACTCAGTAATTTGTTCTTGGTCTTCACGAATAATCTTGTCTGCATAAGAGTGCATTTGAGTTTAAAATTCAAGCTGTAAAAAGGTTTTTAGCTTAAGATAAAAAACTATGATCTACAAGCCCCTGTTATGACAGATTAAGATCTTATTTCTAATTTTTTCTGCTCACATGCAAGTTTCAAGCACAGAGAGCTTCACAATTAGCAGTAGCTGCTACGAAGTTCTACACAATCTACTAACTCCAGTAGCTCTATTTATGTGAAAATTTTACTTTTTTTTCTTCATTTATTTTAATGAGCAAAAAACATAAAACATACAAATGGTCTGAGAGAGAGAGGGAGAGAGAGGGAGAGAGAGAGAGAGAGAGAGAACTTAAGGATAAACCCTATTTCACAGAGATATAAACAAGCAATACATCATAGTGATCAGAATGCACAAATAATGCATAAGAAACCAAACAAAACATGAAAAAAAGCTGCAGAGGTATAATAAATCTGTTTTGCTAATAGTACTAAGTCTTCAGTGACACTGTCTCTTCATACCTCTAAACCAATGCAATACAGTGCTCCTAACATGCAATACACTGATCTGTCCAGGCATCTTTAGAAGCTGATCAATAAGAGCACAATTAGGGCTCTCTGTACACTTAGTTCACCAGTACCGAGGACTAAATATTTAATTAAGTCTTACCCAACAGTTGCATACAAAACCTGCCTGTTAACATACCAAGGATAGAAATGAGAATTAGAGATTAGTGAACTCTTGAGGCTGGAGTTGCATGAAGCCCAAGAGAGCAGTGCACAGGTATATCTTGTTAAATCTCTTATCCAAGTTTGCACTGATGATGAATTGTTGGTGAGTTATTGACTTTCTAATTGGATCATTTTTTTGCAACCATACAGGAAGTGCCTGTCTAGACAAAAATAATACTTCCATTCATTGCATAACAATTCTGGCAACTTCAAGTCATGACTATTAATTAAAACAGAATCAACATTATGACTAAAATAACAAAACTGCCACAAGTTCTTTTACAAGTGAATCATGTTCCTTTTGGAATCCCTAAAATAACACTTAAAATAACATACGCAGTTTTACCTGTGAAGCCATGAAGCTTACATTTAACCCCCATCTGGGGTAGCACTAGCAATTTTTTTCGCTTACCCAAATCACCACATTTTTGTCAATTTGTTACCAAAATGGTTATAATTTGGCTAAAACATGTCAAATGAAGCCCTTTTTCTTTAGCCAATTTAAGTTAGTTTTAGCATTTGGCTAAATTGGCGAGTGCTAGCGCTACCCCATCCCATTCATCATCCACCCACCTCCCCACTACATTACAATATTTTCACAGCACATTAACTTCTTGGCTAGTTGAAATAGACCCTATTCCCATAGATATTTAGATCGATCTATCCCCCTGGGGAGTCTAACTAGATTGGTGTCAGCTTAACAGGCTTAAAAGTCTGTCCCGCCTACTAAAAACTGTAAGAAGGTAATTAACTATGGTGCGCGCCCAACTGACAGCAATTTAGCGTGAACCCCCAGGGAGTTAGGTCGATCCGGATGGATCGATCGAAATCTCTGGGAATGCAGTCATAGTCTCATCAATGTCAGAATCTTTTGTCACCTTTGCATCTCTTTTCAATCCTATGAAAAAAAATGTATAATTATATCAGTTGTATTAGTCTAATTTGAAAAAAAAATGTTGATTTCTTTTTTTTCTGAGTTAGAAATTAATCCCTTGTCTGCCACTTATAGCACAAATATGACTTTAGTTTGTTCATTTTTCCTGGAACAGCGGATGCCATGGTCAATTTAAGCTGGCAAACTCAAAGGGGGCCTCAATGACATTTGTGTGAAAGCTAAGATCAATCTTCTTAAAGCCTCATTAACTGAATATATATCAAGGTACGCTGTCAACTAGTAATATTCAACTACATCATATCAGAACATTCTTAAGCATATACTTTTTTAATTTCTTAGAAAGGATATTTGAAAAGGGTCACAGATGGATAGAAAAGATAAGTATAAAAGAAATGTAGTTAAGTAGAATATGAACTTATTTGTTTGTCAACTGTGCAAGAATTGAACAGAGTATTTGAGCTGATGTATACTTGTTGATGGCATCACCATTTAAATGTTCTAATGAAATTTCTTCTTTACTAGAAGGTGATAACCATGTAAATGATATAACCAACATTAACCTGCTTAATTCATATTATTAAATATTTCAAATGAATAAGAACTATTTGGGCAAACTGTAGCATGTTTTTGTCAGAACAATATTTTAAACCCAAATTTTTGCAAAATAATAAAAAAAAAATTAATCAAATATAAATTTTGCCAAATTTTGGCATTTTGGGAACATTTCTCATGCTAGTGTGAGCCTAAACAAGGTAATAACCTTGTATCTCTATTACCACGTAGATTATTTGCAATTTATGACTAGTAAAGTCTCTTTCTTCCCCTTTTCAATATCGTTCCAGTATGCAACTACTACATGCTATGAAAACTACAAAATATCATTCATTCACAAGTGCAATTATGTGAATATGAGCTTCCTCTAACAGCTATAAATTATGTCAGCTATGAATGGGAAGACAGTGGAAGTGATTCAGTCAAGCTACGGCCCAAAACATATTTATCTTCTATCCTAGAGTCAAGGTATCTTTAACCTCCACATAACGAGAACAAATCTCAAAATAATAAATAAATAAATAAATAAATAAATAAATAAATAAATACATACAAAAATGAAAAAAGGAAGAAAGAAAGAAAGAAAACATGAAATCCTGAGGTGTACGACTTAATGGGTATAAAAAAACAGTTATCCTTGAAACAGCATCCCCAGTTTTGAAAATAGATTGTCAGACAGACAGGCAGATATTCAGTTTTCTGGATTAAAAAATCATTTTATCCATTTGGTCAATTCAAACAGCACTGGCTCAAATAAACAATATATTCACAGTTACCATGAACAAATCTAAAAATATTAACACTTGATATTAATCAGTATCAGTATGTCTTTGAATCTGCACATTTGCATATGCATATAATATCAACATTTCTGGTCTATGGGATCCATAAATTTGAAGCTTTCACTGGCTCCCCTCTACCTGAGAATGAGAACCAAGAACCGAACAGAACTGCACTCCACACTGGTAGGTTTGTTTTAGATACTGGAGCTATTTTTATCTTGCTGAAGCGTTGGAGTTCACCAGGCAGATGGGTGAGTTTATTATAACATCTGGTCTCTAATGATAACATCTGCTACACATTCTGATATATTGGTGGTCATAGGACGCGTCCAACACCATTTCAACAGAGAAGTAATCAGACTTAGTTCGGGAAGAAGACAGTGCAATTTGTGTATGTTACAACAACATTAAGTGGCCAGTATAATAAATGAAGGGGTAGTTTAACTGATAGATAAGTTAACATGACCAATAGCACCAAGATGTCAAATAAATTTCACACAGATATATATGGGTCTAAATACAGTTCACCTTCAGGTTTAAGTTTAGATACAGTTTGAGTTAAAATGGTATTGAAATGTGACCTGACCTTGTGCAGTGCCAGTCAGGTAGAAAGAAGATGTTTGAACGTTCCACAACTAAAGGACCAACTGACCCTAAAAGACACTTGACCTCTCTGAAATCACTGGCCCCCAAAATCTGCAAGTTCATAACATTTGATTCAAAAATGGTACATTTTTAAAAGGTTGGTTTTCAGTAAAAGCCAAACTTTTCATGTATACTTGTATTCCAACATAGGATAAAGGTTTACATGACGATGTCCATTATGTGTAGTATGAAACAGGCCTCTTTTTTATTCTTTCTTTCTGTATATTATTTTTTTATTGCAAAAGAAGCCCAATACACCTTCGAGTGAACTACAACTGATTTAGCTCTGCTCAGTGTTGATCAAAGTTTTAGGTCTTTCTTCAGTGATCAATTTCAGTAAGAAAACCTTTTGCAACTCTGGACCAAAAACTGGAAGACATTGACAAACATTTGATAAAATACAGTTTTTACAATCAATTCTTTATGGGGCATATCTTGCACCTTGTAAAGCTAATTATCTATTTAAAAAAAAAGACCAATGGTAAACTGACAAGTTATTTCAATTTTCCTTTGCCAAAATGTCATCTTTATCATTCTGGAAAAAAATGTATGAGAAAATGGATACAATTATTCTTCAATGTCAGCTTCACTATTAGGACCACAGCTGAAGGACAAAAAATTTAATCTAGAATAAGATTTTCCGAGAAACATCATGTCAGACATGCAAGACGCTGCTCTCCAGGGTTCCCCTCAGATCTCAGTCCTCATTGATTTTGCTGTCTATATTTTCTCCACTAATTTTTTCCAGAAAGGCCACAAAACGGCACTTCAGGGACAGATGAAGAATCCAGGGCCTTATAAACTGCACATTCTATCTTGTCTTCAGTTCTAGGTGTTCTCTGGTTTGACTGACACTGTGAGGGCTCATTCCCAATGTAACCATTGCTCTACGCAGATCGATCCAACTCCGCCGGGACTTGCCCTGAATGTTTAACAGATTTACACACCTCAGCCGATGGATGGGAGTTAAGGCTTCATTCACATGAAAAATCTATTTTCTAAAAATCTATTTTCTATTCACGGTATCTTGTGATCATGGTCTGTGCCCTGAATACCCTGCAGCGTAATTACTGGCAGCGCGAGCCAGTTACTTCCAAAGCTGTAATTAATTCTCGGCTGCGCTCGGAGTGATCACAAGATACCGCGAATAGAAAATAGATTTTTAGAAAATAGATTTTTCATGTGAACGAAGTCAAAGTTTCAATGGGACATAGAAAATTGTCTGCATCAATGAATATATTTTGTTCAAAATCAGAAAGTTGGTAATGAATATGTTTCAATGACAGATGAAGAAATTGCTTGCACCTCCTGGGAAACCAGTCTGCAGCCAGGGAAAGTAAGCAAGGTAACAAGGTAACAGCAACAAATGATGATTGATAATATTTCATGAAACAATGAGCTGATAAAATAGTGACGTCCCTGAAATATCTGTCATGGATCCAATTTGCCTACACACATTCATTAACTTATTTGCCTTCCTTTTAAGGTTGCACAATGGTAATTACACAAAGGCTGAATGTATTTTCTTGAAATATACTGTGGGCAAGATATTCAAAATAAATAAATTAATTAATTAATTAATTGAAAGCCTCTTGATTTTCACTGATTTGGTTAAAAAAAAGTCATTTGAAAACAAATTTGAGTACATTAGGATTTACAGGATGACCTCATGGAATACATCATAACATGATAATATTAAACCCTTTTTTAATTTCAGTTATTGGAGGTGTGTGTGTGTGTGTGTGTGTGTGTGTGTGTGTGTGTGTGCACACGTGCATACATGCTTGTACTAGTATGTGGGCAATTGTTACTCTTCAGCATTCAAAGGCCTATTTGACATTTCCTTTAAATTTCCGAATCATGCCCTAACCTTCTTACAATTTACTATGGTCAAATATTTTTTCAGCAAGTAATTGTAAAATATCCAGTCTTCCAAAGTGTGTTTTTACTAACTGCATGCCCTGAAGGCTCCCCCAGATCGTCTGGCAAATTGTCTTTGTTACAGGTGGAAAAAATTTGTAAGCTGTGGTTCTGATATTCCTGGAGCCGATTACATGCCAAATCTTCACAGAAATATGGTGCATATATTTACAGCATTGAACGTGAAGAAGATATTTTTTAACTACGGTAATATGCCAAACAATTCAACCAAGTAAGCAGGATTGGCTGAAAGTCAACTTTTAATTGTAATCATCAATAACTACATGTGATACAGCTATAAAAATACATCAGAAGTAGTATGCAGACACTCATCAAACCCCCCCCCCCCCCATGTTAAAGTACAGCTCAGTTACGCAAACTGTTTGTTCAGCAAATTAGAATGGCAATAACCAAAGTAACCATACAAACAACACGACTCATAAAACAGTAAGGAAAAAAATCAATCCAGTGTAAAATCTCATTCAGTCAAAGTAGATGTTACAAGCCTTTTCCTCACACTTACCAAACCTACCTGGACTTGCTGGAAGATGTTTCCACTTAACACTGATGTTTTTATTCCCATTTTAAACACTTCATGCAGGGTAGAAAAACATATGCCAGATGCCAGACATAGCTTCCCTCCAGTACAGGACTCCATAGCCACAGTGATTTTATCTTTACGCTGTGTATGTTTTTATTTGTTACTGAGCAAGGATTGCCTGGATTTCTCTACGGGCTAAAAACCACAGCGACTCCCTTTGCAAACTGTACCTTCCAAAAATTTAATGCTGCCTTTGAAACAGGAGAAATGTTTATTTGCAACATGGCTTTACCTGCAATTGCAGACCTGACTTCAGTACAAGCTTAAAACATTCCTCTACATGTCATCTTACAGTATCGGAATTGAAGTCGAATTTTTCCATTTAGAATTCACATGTATATCCTGTAACCTGGCAGCACCCTTGTTTCAAAAAGTCTAAAATATGTGGTTTTTGAGGGAAAAAACGAAACCTTTATCAGAATAGAACAAAAGTGAAATAAAAACATTAAAATGCCCTAAATAATTCGGCATAGTGGGCAGCATCTAAGTTTAGTGCCACTCACTAAGTTATGTCCAAAGCATTATATCAGATAATAAAATAGCCACCTTTGCTTTGGTGAATGGGCAAAATGGCCAAGCACCTGTCAAAGTGACATGGGGCTAGTTGACATAATTCTTCAACTGCACCCTGGTAGCTGAGAGCAAAACTACATTCATATAACTTTGTTCTTTTGATACCAAGTACTGCATTCTTTGAGAATGATGGCTGTGATGGAGTGATGATGTGGAACTGCTTGAGATTCCAGGGTTTACTACATGGTAAACACTTCAGTATAAGCCGAATACTCTTCTGAGTAGATGTGTAAATAATTGCAGCTTCCAAACCCATGTAATGTAAGCCAATGCAATGCGGTGTTCAAGCAGCTAAAAAAAAAAGATGCAAAAAAGTTTTTTGGGGGGGTGGTTTAGTCCAGCATTACACTTGTTGCAGTTAACCTCAGGCAGTTACCTCATGGCTTCCAATTATTTAGGCATTTCTGCTACATTTTAATAAGTGTTTTAAAAGTTCATACAGTGACACTCACACAGAAATGGCACCCATTTTCAGGTCAATGCAAGCATGCAGGCAGGCATGTGTACACGCATATTATAGCGATCACACTGTAGTAAAGTCTACTGAAGTCTGATAACCAAGAAAGAACATTAGTCTTTTTATTAAAATTTGTACATTTCAATGGTTTCCACAAAACCAAGGGACTGAGACTCTTCCTTTTACCTAGATTGGAGAGCCACAGTACTAGTGGTCTTTCTCAGACACCCTGTTACCTAGAACTATTCCATATGGGCATAATTAGCCCAGAAAATTCCAGGTTTTAAACCAGGTTCATGTTTAGTGCAGTGTACTTATATAGGTGTTGCTCTATTTCCACGTCAGTTTTCATTTTTCCACCACACTACTGGTACATATACTGTGACTCTGTGATTACTTTGAAGCATACTGTTTTATCCAGAAAAGAAAATTCTCAATGGGATCGATATTCAAGTCTTGAAATATGGTCAGGAATATGAACAGAAAACACTAAAGAAATAAGGAGCTCACAAACCTCCACCTTAAGTTACTAACCCGATTTCAACAATGCATACAAAATAACTTTATAACTGTAAGACATAAAATGAGAAGGACAGAAATTCCTTTATTTATTATTATATAAAATTGCCACATCTCTTTTTAAAATCAAATATTACTAGCAAAGCAAAAGCAAAAGTTTTATAAGCTAGTATAAGCCCAAACTGGATCATTTGACTCATTTACTCTGCTACGATTGCAAATTATACTATTAAATTATGGATCTATATAGTATAGGAATGGTTACCTAAGGGGTGTGGAGTAACACCTATAAGTGACCAAGGTTAATAGTTTACGCCCTCACAATAGACAAGTAATGTGATACCAATCCCACGTTATTGGCACTTCATGTATTATGCCATGCTGATAGAGGCAAGGTTTCTTTGGGAGAGAGAGGGAAATATACAAGAGGCGGAGTAAAGAAAAGAAAACAAAGATCATATAAAGACAGTCTTTAGGATCTTTCTGAGATTTTTTCTTTCTTCTTTTTTCTCACTGTAAAAAGGGTAGTTTCTGGGAGGACTAAAGATGACCGTCTTACGGGTACAGTATGGTGACATCAGCCTTTTTGGCAGAGCTTACACTTGGATATAGCTACAACTGTGACTACATAATAAACCTGCGTAAATGTTGCCTTCTGAAAAATACAAAGCTTGAACAACACTTCATGACTATAAGCTTGCCGGCAGCGTTACCCCCCCCCCACCACACACACACACACACACTATCCTTTACCCTTTCAATGAAAAATCCAACAGATATACTGCTGAGACTTTTTGATAAACAGGAAATTATGACAGGCAAGCTCACATACAAACACACCATTGGCGTGTCATACTCACCCTCCAACTCCACCACCTTGCCTGCTCTCTTCAGGGACCGAACAGCTTCGTCGTGGGTGGCTTCGCGCAGGTCCTCCGCGTTCACCGACAGAATCGCGTCCCCGACGTACAAGGCCTCCGTCTTATCTGCGGCAAGACCTTTAAATATTTTACTGATAAGTATAGGCATTTTGTTCTCTTTCCCCCCTTTAATGCTGATCCCCAAGCCATTCTGTTCTTCTTTGACGATGCGAACAAAACGCTTCTGGCCGGCTATGCTCTCTGGTAACTGATCGGGGGGAGAGGTATTCACAGAATTTGCGGCGCTGGCTGCCTGCCCTTTCTTCGACGCCGAGGAGTCGTTCGTGCCATTGCTCAGTCCGGCATTCTCGGTATTTTCATCCAAGCTAAGGATCAGGGAATCCTCGTTGAGAGTTACGAGCACTTTACACCACTGTTGGCGAATATACACCTCCAGCAGTCCACTCCTGCCAGCCCCTGACGCCATCTTGCCTCGTCCCCAAACACCTGTCATGACGTACCGCATAGACTGAAACTGGGAAGTCGGGACTTGATGCTAGTGCCTGGCAAGTGAAAGCGAAAAGCTATTTTTTCCACTCCAAACATTATTCGGTTTCTTTCATGATTTATTATCATTCTATTGGACCAGTCGTATTTTGATCTTTATTTAAAGTCGGTTTATGCACGTCAGGCGCCGTGGATCAGACTGGAAGGCTATAATCATATTTGCAGGGGTTATTATTTTCAAGTAATATTCAATATTTATTGATTTTGCCAGAGCGTCTATTAGGAAGCTCTCGATCAATAAAAATGTAAGTTGCAAAAACAATTACAGACCCCTACTTGTTAAATAAATGAGTAAATCTATAATAAGGACAATGCTTTATCATTGATCGTTGTTTTGGATTAAAACTACGGCGGTCTCTTCCTGCAATTAATCACACAAATTCAACATAGATGTACATGTACATTTTAGACACCTTTCTTGCAATACTGACACTGAAGTCGGCCGCTCCTCCCCCAAAATGTTCACAGAGCTGTTTTATTTCTAAGAACAAACTAAGCCACAAAGCCTTTTTACCATCGTCTTTACAATAAATACCTACATATACGACTCAATGCAATTTATCAATATTTCTTTTTAGCTCTGAAGTAGTTTTTTCATGTAGCCTACTTTTTATTTGTCTGGGGCTGTTATAGACCCTACAAAGGAACATTTGACACAAATTATTTAGTAAGTTTAGTAACAGTCTATATATATTCCTTATATTTATTTTATTTATTAAAGGCTTTCAGGGGCGGTTCCAGGATTATTTTGAAGGGGGGGGGGGGGCGGTCCGCATATGTGAAGCCGACCCTCCCCCCCTCCCCTTGGCATGGGGTCGGGGCCCGGTGGAAGGCCCCAAATTTTTTTTTTTTTTTTTTTTTTTGGTATTTTAGAGGACGGGCGGTGCCATTTGGTACGGTTTAGAACTATAATTCAGCTAGTCAAAATTCTAGTTTCAAGAGGGGACCATTGGTGTGATTTTTTTTCAGAAATCCAAGAGGGGGTCAGAACCCCCTCCCCCTCCCCCTCCTAAGTACCCCCCCCTCTCACATTTTGGCGTAAATAACCGTTGAATGAAACGTTTTTAAAGTTTATTAGAAAAGCGTGGCATCTCCTTGGTATATCCTTCTGTGGCATCAAATAAGTTCAAAGAAAGTGTTTTATAATTATGAATGTACAAGAAGTTGTACATGTAACACAATCCTTACGCACTGATACTCCTGGAAAGAAAGGGAAATGCACCAAAAGAAGTAATTGGGGATTAGTATGTTTTCCTGATATAAGTGGTTTTTCTTTTAAATTAAAATGAAAGCTTAGGCTCACATAGTAGGGCCTAGTCTTTCCTCTGCTGAACTAATTTTAAGTTAAGGTGTAGTATTTCGCATCCGGTTTTTAAATCATATAGCGATTTTACGACAATCGTTTACTATCCAATCAAGGTGACAGCCGAGCGTGATTACATCAGCTATCTTTAGGCCATCTATCTCTCTGCTTGTCTTGCGATGGTGGTTCATCATGATTTTCGCGCCATGTTCAATTTCACTTCCGGTATCTCCCATGCGTGGAGCACGTAAAGTGTCATGTCCTCCAAATGGCCTTTTCACCCTTACCGTCCACTCCTGTTCGACCAGGGCTTCAAGTGCTACCCGGGCATATTGTTGTGAACAACAAATGGATTGGTAGCGAGATTGTTGGGAGTTTAACAGGTATTTTTTTATTCTGTATTGATCAAAGCTGGGCTCGGAGTCGGTCACCGCAAACAGTCTCTATATCGTAATGCTCATCTCTTTGGACAACGTCTCTGCACAGTGTTATAATACTTGTAATTTAGCACAATCATGAGTACGCACACAATTATGTTTGCTTATATGTACTACATTTGCTAACACATGAAAGATAGATGTATAGACAAGAATGAAATAATTTTTTCTTCAATCAACAGCATAATGTTGAAATAATTTACCTCCAATAGGGACAGTCGGGCTGACGTCACGCGCCTTAGCAACCGGCATCTGGGGTAAAACAAATCGGGCAACATGGCGGATCGCATTGACTTCTATGTAAAAGTTGGCAGACTTTGTCCGAAGATATCATACTCCACAGTGCCTGACCACTTGTGTCAGTGAGGATGAGTTATTTACCTGGTTGATTTCCTTTACAGGCCTTTGTAATTAGCCGCTGCACACCTGGTTAAGAGATAAAATCGGCCTTAATATAACTGCCGATCGTTATCTGTGATCGGGAATTTTACAGCAGAAGATTTTGAAAAGGCAGTGCTTGACCTTTTGTGTCTGGCGGGTTGAATCATTTACCTGGACTAATGAGTTAGCAGGCCTTTGTAATAAGCTACTGTTTAACTTGTTACGGGATAAAATTGGTCTTAACTGCATATGCAAATGTCCACCATAAGTATATACATGTACATGTACAAAGTTGGTGAAATAGGAATGGCTTCTTAGAACGTGGATCGTAAGAAAGGCCTAGAAAATGTGCAACACTGAGAAGTTATTAGAATAAGATTTCTACAAATTGTGATTAAATCACCTGCTGCTGCAATAGCCAGGGGAACGGGATAGGGGTAATGTCATCGGTCCCATGGCCTCTTTGGTCTGTATACAGTACATGAATATTAATGCAAGCCTGGAAGGACAGCATAAACAGTTGCTTGCTAACTTTTTGGAAGAGAAGACACGTGGTGTTTCCTGTATTAATATTGGCAGCTACGCGTCTATGAGTGTTTACAGTCTTAATTATTGTGCATTTTTCTGGTACGAAAATTGGCGAAATATAATGGAAGACAGAACGCTAAGTTTCAAAACGTGCAAGGTTAAAATTAAATTGAATAACAAACACGGTAATAAAGCTGTATGTTATTTTACCAGTTAAGGTCGCTTTATTTATGGCAACTTTTTTTAAAAATTTTACTTGATAACTTAAAGATTTAGACATTAACTCACAGGTTTGTCAATATATTGACGTACATATTTTTTCTTATCTTTAAACTCAATTAACTTACAGCAAAAAAGTTCGACGTTATAGTCCATTAATTTTAACTAAAATAATTGATATACCGTCACACATGCCAAAACAAGATGCAATCTCAATTTCTTGTAAATATTACTTATTAATTCCTGTCACAAATGACAAACATAAATACCAAACAAGGTACAATGACTTTCTCCTTATCTATAATAAAATGAACTATACACACATACACAAATCTCGTAGTGCATGAATAGCTATGACCAAATCTTGTTTCGATCAACAATCCCGTCCTTAGTCACGTCTGCACAATCTATAGCCTGCAACAGTCGTTTACTTTTCCGTTGATCTTTGAAATTTAACAAATCCCATTAGATTTTATCAATGTGTTGGTAGTGTCACCTGGTACACAGCAAGCTTCCACCATTTAACTTTTGTACGTGCCTGAGAGTTAAACGGTACCTGTGCAATTCAGTAGGCCTGCAAAATCTACTCGTATGTGTCAGCAATATGCAACGTCAACAGTTATTAGTACAATTGAAACCTTCCTTGATAATATCAGTTGCTTCCATATGGTTTTCTTTTCAAAGAGATGTGAATATTATGCTCATCCAGGTAAGCAAATGAGTCTTTGCAATCTACCACTGTAAGATTCCCGATCACAGATAACGATCGGCAGTTAAGGCCGATTTTATCTCTTAACCAGGTGTGCAGCGGCTATTTACAAAAGCCTGTAAAGGTAATCGACCAGGTAAATAAATTATCCTCACTGACACAAGTGGTCAGGAACTGTGAAGTATGATATCTTCAGACAAAGTCTGCCAACTTTTACATAGTAGTCAATGCGATCCGCCATGTTGCCCGATTTGTTTTACCCCAGATGCCGGTTGCTAAGGTAAAGTGCCCGGATGACCGACTGTCCCTATATTTTGATGTCTAACAGAGCGTCGATATGTAGACGACTGTAAAATGACACCATGTTGCAAATCAGCGCTTTTTTGGTGAGAAACGTATTTTTCATAAAAGATCATCATCAAAGCAGCCTCATCAGAATCATATAATCAAATTGAATCAAATAAATCCATTACTGACCTATCCTGAAAATATTATCAAAATTCTTCATTTAAGCTATTTACTTACAAACCAACAAATGCAAAAACATAATTAGCCTAGCTTCTTGTCTTTTTCTGTGGGCAGTCATANCCCTATCCCTTAACCAGGTGTGCAGCGGCTATTTACAAAAGCCTGTAAAGGAAATTGACCAGGTAAATAACTCATCCTCACTGACACAAGTGGTCAGGAACTGTGAAGTATGATATCTTCGGACAAAGTCTACCAACTTTTACATAGTAGTCAATGCGATCCGCCATGTTGCCCGATTTGTTTTACCCCAGATGCCGGTTGCTAAGGTAAAGTGCCCGGATGACCGACTGTCCCTATAAGATAATAAATGTAAAAGTAAGGGGAGGGGATTAAATTATGAAGGGGGCTGAGGAAGGACAATTTAGATGATTGATAAGATAGTGTTAATTATTACATCCCACTTGAAACTCCATTCTTAATTGAGGTGAAGTAAATACTGGCAGTCTCAGGTAAAAGATATACATACCATATATAATGCCATAGAATATGAGCAAGTAAGAGATATACATATCATACATGATACCATAGAATATGATAAAAGATCAAACGGGCTTTTGAAAATGAACATTATAACATTCATTATCTTTTGGAGAGTATAAGTGTAAC